GCACGGAAACCAACCACCAAGCCTACGGGGCCCGTGCGGAACGGTTTTATCGTGGAGAATGCTCCAGAGTACAACGTGCGCCGCATCAGAGCGCTGCAAAAGAAGAGATACCGAAGGTCCCCAGCGTCCCAGAGGCACTTGGAAGCCGAGAAACGTCATGTGCTGCACAGGTGGCGCGTGTTCGAGCAGCAAGCTAGGAAGCGAAACATTGCAGTTTCGAATAGCTTGGACGAATACAGTAGCCTTGTACGCACAGCCTGCTGGTACTGCGGGGAATTCACACACGAGGGGTACTTTCATGAAAGGGCCACCGTCGGTGAAAGAGCTCTTGGGGAAGGTCAATGAGATCGCAAGAAAGAAATCGAAGAATAATACCTCACAAGTTGTTGCCACCCAGAGATAACTTCACCACGCGGCCCTGGCAGTTGACTTCGACTCCGTGCCATTGCGAGAGGGCGGCGCTAGTGTTCCAGTTTCGCGTGTACTCCCACTTAGCCCGACCGGTCGCGTTGTATAGGGCAACCAGCGCCTTGCGGTCCGTCTGCGCCATCGTGTAGTCTAGGGGGCCTGGGTACGCGGAGGTTTGCGGGACGTTCGCAAAGACAAAACATTTGTTCGACGAGGACACGTACCATCGACTTCTGTTGGTCGTCTCTCGCGACTGAAGTGGTGAATTCACACCAGCATCACAAAAGGATAATCGCATCAAAGAACCACAACAATGCCTTCGAGCGCGAACAATCTTGACGATGTGCGAACGATGAACGATGCCACATCACTGCGGCGGCATCAACAACCCAGTCTCCGAAAGTGAGGAGAGGAACAGAATAGACTCACCTTTTCTTTGTAGCTTGAATAAGCAGCACGGAAGTAAGAGGGGAACAGCTGGACCCTGCCGTTCCCTTTTTTACGGCACCGCTCTTGTGTGGATCCTCTCCTGACGGTGGCTGGGCTACAGCACGGTAAATGTTCACTTTGCTGAGCTATAAGCAGATGCTACTGCTCATTGAACAGTGCGCGATGTGACATGCATCTGTAGGCCAATCTGTACGTCCCGCCGCTTTTATACGGCGTGTGGACGCCTCCATGAAAAGAGGGGGGATATGTAGATCGGTCACGGCCGACAGTCCCAGTACCAGTGTACCTGGTGACACGATCACGGACAGCCGGAAAGCTCAGCTAGGCCGGACGCAATCCCAACTAAGGAGGTCAGCTCACGGTGGAACAGGTGTGTGAGTCCCACTGGCAGTCGTTTGGGACGCAAGTGTCCAAGGGTTTCACGACAAAATGTCTCGCCATCTCAAGTGCCCTTCAAGAGACACGTAATAGTTGACCTTGGCCGTTGCGCTCGGCGCGCTGCACGAAAACAGTCCGCCTTTGAGATCACGTTGGTCGCCTCTGCCCCTCTCTGCAAGGTGGGAGCTTTCTCGATGGAAGTTCACGCTTGACTACTGGAGCTGAGAGTAGTGCTGTCGCAGCGATGTATGGTATGCACAGCAGTTCGGAGCGTGTGTGGCACCAACATGCCGTGCCATGCGTGTACCTGTACTTGACACCAGATAACATCCCCCCTGTATCGATGTTGTCGATGTTCACAGCTCGAGTGCTCCACGACGAAAAGGCTGGAGTATACAAAAAACGATGTTGTTGGTCTTCGGAAAGCTCTCGACGACCCGTTTCCATCCCCACCATTTTCGACGCTATCACGCTTCCTTTGTTGCTGTGGAGTGCTTCTCACAGGGCTTTGAAGTTTGGTTCAGGGGGGGTTGTACTCATAGTCGTGCATGCCGTAGTCGTTAGACCATTGACCTCGCATCCCTACAAAGCCGGGACGGAGCACGCCGGGTTCTCACCGGACCAGGCTCTCACATCACCAAGCGCGAAGCGCCGTGAGATATTCGGCGAGTCGCATGAAGGGTGCGCTGCATCCTGCTAAGGGTGTTCGGCATCTTGTGCTTACTTCCTTGCGTACGGATGACAGCTGCGTATGAATTAATTTATTTTCTGGTGCTTTCACTTCCAGAGACAGTTGTAAGCACTGTGTAACTGCCTCGAGGGTGCTTGACCATTTTAACACAACGTGGTGCGATCATCCCCCTTGCGCGGAGTGAGGGTTCACCCCGCACAACATGATCTACTCAACCATCATTATGGTTACCGCCCAAAAAAAATAAACGGAGGAAAAAAAAAAAAACGGTAACCTGGTTGCCGAGTTCACGAAGTGAATTGGCTTGTTTTACAACGTCGTTGCCAAGCGACGAAAACCCAATCCCGATAGGCAAACACCGGGGGGGGGGGGGTGTACTCATAGTCGTGCATGCCGTAGTCGTTAGACCATTGACCTCGCATCCCTACAAAGCCGGGACGGAGCACGCCGGGTTCTCACCGCACCAGGCGGGGGGGTGATATCCTGTGCAAACAACGGTAAATATCTGAAGATGTGGTGGTACGAGACCAATACAATTGTTACGCGCCCTAGGCCTGCGGAGGGAACGGGTTTCCTCATCTAAGAACGAAGTGGATCTGGTATGGAAGGGTTGGCCCGTGTTACGTGATGTTTTTTCAACAACCCCCCGTACGCGGCGCGTTTCGCATGGCATGTTCCGAGGTTTTTGACACAGTGCGTTGCACCGGGTGCACCGAGGTTTGCATACTTACCACCCACTCACAGCAACAGGATAGGTCCTGGCCTTACTCATGTCTTGTACGGCAGTTGCCGAAGGAAGAAATATGTAAGACGGTAGTTGGAATGCGTTGTGCATCCAGCACGAAATGCGTCCTTCCTCCACCAGCCGGGGTATCCAATGGACGGTTTTGTCACGGCACATATATCTGTTTTTCTGTATTCGTTCCTGGGGGATCGACAGTTCCTGCCGCACGAAAAACCCAACCCAGCCCAACCGCCTTTCCCTCACCGTAACCCGTCCCTGGCTCCCGCCCATCCTCCTCGTCAGGCAGTGTCGTCTCGGCCAGCTTCGTCGGGTGTTTCCTCCTCGCCACCCCCCTGGCCCCCGCGGGCGCCCCCAACTCGCTGCCAGCTTCCTCAGGAGGATATAACTCCCTCTCGGATGCTTGACTCTCGACACCCGTCTCCTGTGCGAGTTTCCTCCTCGCCATCCCGTGTCGTCTCTCGCCTGCCACCTCCGGGTATTTTTCCTCGTCTCCCCCATCTCCCCGGGAGGGCTCTTCCCTGCCAGCTTCGTCAAGAGAGTCAACATTCGCCCGGACGTGGTTTTCTCTCCCTCCTCATGTTGTCCCCGTGAACGCTGCAGGAAAAGGTGGACCGCCAGCGCTGCTCGGTCCATGAATCATGCAATGTTGCAGTCAAGGATTGGATGTGGTCGATTACAAAAGTGTCGAAAATGCTTGCGTATTTCATCGCCTGTTGTGACCATGGGACGACGTTGTAAGGCGGATGTGCGCATCGAGAACCTTTTGACTCCGCCGAGTAACAATGATTCACACAGAACAACCCCACCTGGTGGTCTAGCTTAACAACTTGTCGGTGGCGTGTCTTCCGATCAGGACCAATCGATGCGAGACCCTCCATAAGGGTGGGGGAGGAGAGTCACCGCCATCTCAGCAACAAACAACTCGTGTCACACGCGTCAACAATACGTACCGAGATTCTGCACAACACCAACATACAGTACATTTTTGTTCATGTCTAGGTCAGGGGATTGCGCAGGTCGGCACAAACGGTCGAGCATGCGATTCTCTGCTGAAAAGCCAACTGGGAAGGAGGCTGATGGGTGTCAAAGTCGGACCGACATGATAGAGCAGCCTCGTACTAATTACGCGTTGAATACGAATCCACTGCTGCGCCGGTAGATGTGAATCGCAGATACACTGGTATGAGGACACAGGCTACCGTCAGAGACAGGAGCCGGTGCCGTTGCAGTGTTCCCCTACTGCCAAGGATGGCTATTTCCTTTCCTGAGATGTAACGAGGAGAGAGGTAGAAAGGGTGACCAGCAGAAGGCAGAGGAATGAGAATCGAAGACTCTCCGCCTCCACTCTCGGCGGGTGGTCAAAGACGATGGAAGAGACAGATCTCAACGATGTGTGACTTGTCACTCTACAGATGGCAAGTTACTCCGATGGATCGTATCCTCCTACTTTGTGTGTGCACGAGTGGTTGGTTGGTTATGCTTCCGACAGGAGTCTTCCACATCACCCCCCCCTCTATGCGCCACAAGTTCATCTGTGATAAAGATGTGCTTTTGGTGTCTCGAGACAGTAGTGGCTCATGGAGACACATGTATCGGAATTAACCTAGTTTGCACAACACCATCACCAAGATTTGATCATCGTACCACGCGTGTTGAGGAACACAGAGTCCTCAGACAGGGTGATGAATGTGGTCCACACTAGTGTATCTAGAACAAAAAATGGTTGGTACTGGGCTATCATGGTGACAGTTAAGATACTAAAATGTTTTCATGGTCATGATCGCGTGGCATGCCATGTGCGGGGATAATGAGCGGTAAACTTGTTATGAGGTGGAACCTCTGGCAAGTCTGCCTATACATTGGCAAGTCTGCCTATACACCTTAAATGAGACCCTGGGATGCTGGTGCTTTAACCCTTTTGTGACGGAGCTACCCGCCGGCTCTTCCGGGGGTCAATCCGACCCTTCGGCCCCAACAGCCCGAAATTTCAAGCAAGAACGCAAAAGAAAGACGCCAGAAGAAGGAGACATCCTCGAGCGCGACGGGCCCTACTTTCCACACATGTCTGCGCACAACTGCGTGACATTGCGCG